AAACTCGCCGCAATAGAAAATTACGGTATTAGTTTTAATTTCTCATATTTGTGTAAATAATCGATTTTTATAGAGTTAAAATTTTTTTTTAATATCTTAATAACATAAGCTTTAAGTTTAATAAGTCTTAAATTGAGTTTATACAATAGAAATGTCGAATTTTCTATTTCAAAGGTGTTTTGACTCGAATCTCGCCGCAATTAGTGCATTTACCCTAGTACAATTGCGGAGACCATTTCACTATTTAATTTGAAAATGAAAATAACAGAAAATCAAAGACAATGTGCAATTCGATAATTAAAAAGTGACAGCTTATAAACATAACCTAAAATGCATGAGAAAAAATTTGTCGATAAAATCAATATAGCCGAGCTTTTTAGAAGGTAGATGGCAGTTTTGTTTTTTATAAAAACGATTCAGAAAAAATTTAAAGAAAGAAAATAGATGAGTGCTGCCATCTACCTTCTAAAAAGCTCGGCTATATTGATTTTATCGACAAATTTTTTCTCATGCATTTTAGGTTATGTTTATAAGCTGTCACTTTTTAATTATCGAATTGCACATTGTCTTTGATTTTCTGTTATTTTCATTTTCAAATTAAATAGTGAAATGGTCTCCGCAATTGTACTATTACCAAAATATCTGAAAAAAATTCGTTTAATTTTGAGTCGATTCAATTCGGCCATGATTGATATAAATTGATTAAATTTTTTGCATCAAAAAATGAGACCGTTTTTCGTGTATCATTTCTAAAAATGATACACAAAACGATCTCTTTTTGATATAACTTATGTGCATCAAAACGTTGCAAAGATTTGATGCAATTTTTGATCTCAATTTGATACTTTTAGGAAAACTGTGATATTAAATAGGGTCCTGTTTGTATTTTATTTACTTTTTTATTATTTATTTTTTTATTATATTCTACAATTATTTATTTTTTTATTATTCTGTTAAAATTAAAAATGTTCATAAGTGTAAATAAAATTTAAAAAAAGGGACAGAGGACTACGAATGAAAACTTGCTTTCTGTAAAATGATGATTATTTTTTTTTTTTTGATTTAGAATATATTAAAAATTGATAATTAAAACCGTATTAAAAAAAAAGTTTAACGGCTTCTTGAATAATTATATATTTACATTTAATTAAACGATTAAATTATTATGCTAATAAATTTAGATAGAATATATTTTGCAGCCTTGGAATATTATTTAAAATACAAATCAGTAGTGCGGTAAATTTAACGTGATGCTGCCGAGTATAAGGAAAATATATATATAATATATATATATAAAGAGGCGAGCTACTGTAACTTTATGGATGAAGCATTTTGTCAGAATTTTAAAGAGTGCGCAACCGTTTTAGAAAAATCTTTTTGTTTTACAAAAGCAATATTATATATTTTATGCGTAAAGAATAGACCGATTATCATAACCAGCGGTATATGCATATTAACGTATATAAACGTGCTTTATAGAAATTCACCGACTATATACATATATATATATATATTGAGAAAGCAGGCGGTAATTACTACTGAAACCATGTGCCTATATAACCTTGTGTTCGTTGTCTGTGTTATAAACTCTGTAATTTACCTTGAACTATCGCTTTACTTTATGGTGCTAATAAGCAATATATGCGAACAAGCGGTGCTCTTTAAAAACATTGTTGTTTCCCTTTTTTTTTATAAATCTTATCACCCTTTTTTTTTTTTTTTGCTCTTCTACGTATGTCAAATGTATAGAAAAAAATTTGTATTACAATTTTTGATATAAAATATTATATTTTTTGAATATTTTCAAGTTGGAAAAATATTTTCTCATTTTTTTTTAACAGATAAAGTAGTTTATGATTATATTTGATTAAAACAAATAGTTTCTATATATTATTAAAAAGTAGTATTTCAATATTTTTAGATAGAAAAAATAGTTTTCAAATATTTTTAAGAAAATAACAAATAATAGAAACTCTGCAAAATCACGTACGTCACATTGTTCATATATATATATATATATTCGAGGCAAGAACATAAATTCTTATGGGAAGTCAAAAAGCAATAGCTTTTGACATATGTATACATTGAGCAATAAATCATTTTGCAAAAATGTAAAATTATGACTTGAGCAATTGTCGTTTCGATATTTCAGAAATATTCATTCGTTTTCCGAGTAGTTTATATATATATTTTTTTTGCACAATGAAAGATACGAGAGACAGTTACAAGTTAGGTATTTAAGAGAATACCGTTAAGTTTAATGTTCCAACAAATATGTGACAAGCAGGTTTTCTGTCACTTTAAAAAAAAGTAACGTGACGTGGTAAGCCTTCCACATTCATAAAATGCTTATACATATATATACAGGAAAAGTGGATCTTGAGCGCGAATCATTACACATTTAAAGATGATTTAATTATTGCCTCCACGTGTTTTTTTTAAAATTTCACATTTTTTATTTTTATTTTTTTTTCCTTTTATTTTCAGATTTTTTTTTCATTTAACTGAATTCATTAAATTTCCCTGCAAAATTTTTTTGTTGAAAACTATTTTTTATTTGGAAATATTATTATGGGATTTATAATTAATATAAAAAAATATGTTTGCCAAATAAAGATTTCTTTAAATCTATTTTACAATAATCAAAATTATTATTTATTTGAAAATATATTTTGTTATCGGGTCCATGAGTTTGTCGTGATGAAATTTGCAGTATTTAATCTATGAAAAGAAACTCGATTCGTTTCGAGTTCTTGGTATATACTTAATTCAATTCTCTGTTAAAGAAACGAGTTTGTATATACATCCGACTAGAGGTCCTCCCCATATGTATATATATATGTATATGTTTACATCCGATCTATACGAGAGGAAAGAAAAAAAAATTATACGAGAAGGTAATGTCGAATCATTAGTATTGGAATCTAAAGATTAGACTTGCCCCACTAGTATAATGCAAAATTGCCGCGCGTCTTATTCTCGCAGGTCTTTTATGGAGTTGAATGCTCCCGAAGATGCAGGAAGTCGCCCGATAAGTAGACGAATCGAAGGATCGTTCCCTAAGGCAAAAAACCCTCTCGTGTGTTTATAAAATCTCTCTCTCTCTCTTTTTCTCTCTCTCGTACTCCACTAGATTCGCGGTTCAATCTAGATCGATTCGTTTCTCTTTTCATATGTCCGCGCGTGCACACGAGAAATACCCGGAAAATTCACTTTTTTTTTCTTCACCCTCCAAATGCAAAACTTGTATTCAATATTCAGAAAAAATATTTAAAAACGTTTTAATTATTAAAAAAAAAACTTGCAAACTACTTCTTCTAGTTGAAAATGTTAAAAAACTACTTTTTTTACTTGAACAATATGGAAAAACTACATTTTCCACTTTTGACAGTATTGAAAAACTACATTTTAATAATGTAGATAATATTTTTTTCTACTCAAAAATATTAAGAAACTACTTTTTGACTATTAAAAAAATTACAAACTACTTCTTTTACTTGAAAATTTTGAAAAACTCCTTTTTCTACTTAAAATTATTGATATATATATATATTTATTTATACTCTCTCTGCAAAATTATTGAAATACTATCTTTTAAATATAGAGAGTCACTTTTTTCTACTAAAATATGTTGAAAAACTACATTATCTATTAACATAAATATTCAAAAACTACTTAAACTATTAAACGTTTTGATAAACTACATTTTCTACTTAAAAATTATTTGTAAACTACTTTTTCTACTTCAAAATTTGGGAAAACTAAATTTTCTACTTAAAAATTATTTGTAAACTACTTTTTCTACTTAAAAAATATGGAAAACTACATTTTCTACTTAAAAGTTATTTGTAAACTACTTTTTCTACTTCAAAATTTGGGAAAACTACATTTTCTACTTAAAAATTATTTGTAAACTACTTTTTCTACTTAAAAATATTTGGAAACTACCTTTTCTATTTAAAAATATTAAATAACTGCTTTTTCTACTTAAAAAAATTGGAAACTACTTTTCTACTTATTTTTAAACATATTTAGAAACTACACTTTCTGCTTAAAATCCCAATGTTCGCAAAAATTCACTTTTCATGCAAATTATTTCGGTGGAAAGAGGGAAAAAAATATTTTTTAAAATACAGATTTTAATTCAGCATTAAATAAAAATTCATCACAAATATAAAACATGACAAACACAAAATATTATAAACAATGATTTACGCCCTAAAATTTGTGTCAAGATAAAGTAACATAGAAATGAATTTTATTTCATAAACCGATGTTTAACATCGATAAAGTCAACTGAAACGCCTCTATTCTTTATGACGCCATTCTTTCTCAAATTTACTATGGGATCATTGCGCATTTGGTTCCCTATGTTATATTATATATATATATATATTTTTCCATTAGCTGCAAGAACGTGCGCATTGTCTTCCGTCACTTTTCATTTTACGAGCTTTTGAAAATTTATATATCTTTCCAGATGAATTTTAATTCACTGATAAGACTGATACAATTTGTTTACTAATAATTTTTTTTTCCTTTTAATTTTTTTTTGTTACGAAAAAGGAAATTCATTTACTAAAATATATTTTTTTTAAATTTAAAATATATAAAAAATTTGTTGTCACTTTTGTTTCTATTATTGTATTTATCTAAATGGCGGAACGAAAGAGTATAATATAAAGAATGTACCGTTTGAAGATTCCACGAAGGGGATTCCCTTCATTATAACCCGCGCGCACACACGAGATATACGAAAGAGAGAAAAAGAGAGAGAGAGAGAGAGACTATAATACCAACCATTCGAGTCCCTTTGTGTCCGCAATAGGGACGTGACTGCTTTATAGATCTTTTTAAAAAAATCTCACTTTAATGGACGTCCAAAGTGAAAAGTATTTTAATTAATCATCCAACCATTAAAACGTTTGGTAATTGCAATAAGGAAGATATATCAAATATAAAGTGCTAATCATCTTTTTTCTCTCATTTTTTTTTTACAGCGAGTCGGACATGGCTCCAAATGCCGAGGAGGAGCTGCTTGTCGTCAAACCCAGGGGTCTACAATCGGAGAAGGTGAAACCATTTTCCTTTTTTTTATGCATGAAAACAAAAAATTAGAAACTTTAATTTTTTTTCTATTTTTTTTATCTATTATTTAATTTATTTTTAAAATAATTTTATTTAATTTATGAATATAAGGTCTGAAAAATTAATTTGTTAGAATTTCATTAGATAGAATTTTCTTCTAGCCGAATTTTCATTTTGTTCGAAATTAATTTCAGTCGGAAATGTTTAGGCTCGAATTTTAAAATTAACCCATATAAGAAATTAGACAGAAAATTTTGATTGGTTAATTTTTTAAATTCACGCCTAAATGTTGAAGCCGAACATTTTTATTCGGACAAATGAAAGTTCTGCCAAAAAAGTAATTCAAACAAATACAAATTCTGACAAATAAAAATTCGATCAACTAGAAATTCTGATTAAAAAAAATAATTCGAACAAATACAAATTCGATTAAATAGAAATTATGTGAAGTAAATGTTCGGTTTAATATAGAAATTCTGTGAAGTTTGGTTTAATTATAAATTTTCGGTTTAATTGACATTCGGACAAATTCAAATTCTGAAAAATAAAAATTCAATAAAATAGAAATTTGTACAAATATAAATTCTGCCAAAAAATAATTCGGACAAATACCAATTCTGCAAAATAAAAATTCGAACAAATACAAATTCTGACAAAAAATTATTTCAGACAAATACAAATTCAATTAAATAGAAATTATGTGCATTAAACGTTTGGTTTAATGGAAATTCTGGCAAAAAATAATTAGGACAAATAAAAATTTAATCAAATAGAAATTCGAACAAATAGAAATTCTGACAAAAAAATAATTCAGACAAATACAAATTCGATTAAATAGAAATTATGTGCATTAAACGTTTGGTTTAATGGAAATTCTGGCAAAAAATAATTCGGACAAATAAAAATTTAATCGAATAAAAATTCGGACAAACAAAAATTTTGCCAAAAAAGTAATTCAAACAAATACAAATTCTAACAAATAAAAATTCGATCAACTAGAAATTCTGATTTAAAAAAATAATTCGAACAAATACAAATTCGATTAAATAGAAATTATGTGCAGTAAATGTTCGGTTTAATATAAAAATTCTGTGAAGTTTGGTTTAATTATAAATTTTCGGTTTAATTGACATTCGGACAAAAATAATTCGAACAAATTCAAATTCTGACAAATAAAAATTCGATAAAATAGAAATTTGGACAAATATAAATTCTGCCAAAAAATAATTCGGACAAATACAAATTCTGCCAAAAAATAATTCGGACAAATACAAATTCTGCCAAATAAAAATTCGAACAAATAGAAATTCTGCCAAAAAAATAATTCAGACAAATACAAATTCGATTAAATAGAAATCTATGTGCATTAAACGTTTGGTTTAACGAAAATTCTGCCAAAAAATAATTCGGACAAATAAAAATTTAATCGAATAGAAATTCGGACAAACAAAAATTTTGCTAAAAAAGTAATTCAAACAAATACAAATTCTGACAAAAAAATATTGGATGAAATAGAAATTTTGTAAAGTAAATTTTTGGTTATATAAAAATTCTGTAATTTTGAAAATCCATTGAAAGAAAATTCATTTAAATTATTTTGTTTTGTTAATTATTTATTTACTTGGTTTATTTCTTTATATTTTTTTTTTAAGATAAGATATTTCTTAATTTTTTTTCGACACATTATTGTGAATTTGACGTGATATCTTTTTTAAGACAAGAAAAAAAAAGAATTCCATTTTATTGCTGAAACATCCGTGTGAGAATTCAAATATATATATATGTAGAATCTTGCCTCATGGTTGACAATTAACAAAGGAACTGTATCAGCGGAAGTCACGTATAGATATATATATATATACAAAATATATTCTCTCTGATAAAGAATGGTCAGGGTCGGAGAGCAGGTCCGTTAAACTAAAGAATAATTAAACCCGTTTACCGTGTCGATCGCAAACTATCGCTTTGCAAACTTCCGTTCTATGTGTGGCAACACACATCGTTTGCAGAGATTGAAGCTATTTACTAATTTACTGTTCTGCATAATAAGATAAATTAACGGAATTTTTCAATTGTTAAAGAAATTTTTTTTTTCAATTTCATTCACTGAATAGTAAAAAATGTTTATAATTAAATTATTATTAAAAAAAAAAATACAAGAGCATAGAATTTTCTTTTAGACGAATTTAGTAAAAATTCTGTAAAATGAAAAATTTATTGAATATAAATTCTGTCAAAATAATAATATTCGAAGAAATAATTCTCAAAAAAAATCGAAAAAATAGAAATCCTGATAAATAAAAATTCTATCAAATATAGAAATTATGTCAAAAACTAATTCCAAAAAAATTCGGTTAAAAGAAAATTCTAACTAATTAAAATAAAAATAAATAAATTTTATAAAAAATTAAAATAAATTAAATTTCTAAACAATGACTGGAAAAAAATAATTTTGCTCAAATACTGTAAAAAAAAACTAGTTATTGTTTCCTCATAAAGAAAGTAACAATAAAATAAATTGTGTAACGTTTTAAGTAACAAATAAAATTAACCACTTTATAACTATAGTATCACCGATAACAATTTTATTTTAATTGGAAAATAAATTGTAACTATTATCGCGACAATAATTTAAATTTTACACAATTTTGCTATTTAATGAAAAAAAAACTCATAAATTAAAATACTTGCAAATATTATTAAAAAAAAAAAAAAAAAAAAAAAAAAAAAAATGAGGGAGAGAAAAATATTTATTTTTCGCAAAGAAAATTCCGATTTCTATCTCATTGGACAACCTTTCACAGTAGTTCCACAATATTGTTCAAGTAGTAAAAGCGATAATAACTATAATTTCATCGAGTTAAGATCAAGAGAGGGTCATGAAATTAGTTGCACACTATGTGTATTTCATATAGTTCGAGAGTGGCTATAATTTAAACCCTAATCCTGTGGTTTTGTTCGAGAAGAGAGAATAAAGCGCATACAACATAAGCAGCCTTATCAAATCAGTGTATCGAATGACCTATAATAATGTCTATTACCGATCGAAATAGCCACTCATAAGTGAAAAAAGTTACACCACCAAAACTATGTTTTATTATTATATTTTTTTTCTCCTTCTTTTGGGATCAAAAAAAAATTTATACTGTCCTTATTCTCTTCAACTATAAATGGGAACAAGACCCAAGAGATTTTTATTATTTTTTAAAAATAAAAATATCTACATCAGAGAAATATTTTTTATTTGAATTTGAATTTATTTTTATTATTATTTTATATCAAGTGGAAATTTTTAACAAATTAATTTTTTCATTTAATATTTTATCTATATATATATATATATATATTTCATTAAAATTATTATTTATTTATTTAAACATTAACGGGACATGTCAGTTTAATTAATTTTTTTTTTAATATTATTTTTGTTATAATTAATATTTTTTTTCATATATCGCAAAATTATTTTCAAAATTTTCTTTATCTTTAACGAAAAAAATTTATGTCTCTCTGGAGATAAAAAAAAAAAATTCTTCCTGTAAAGAATTCATGGCAATTTTATATACCTCTATATATTTATAGATATTGAAAACCGCATGTAAAAAGATTGTGGTTTTCTTTTACAAGCGACGATTTTTAAATATATACTTTCTTTATATATGGAAAATTCCAACTACATTTTCTCACACAAAAATATATATTTTTTCTAGATGTAATTATTTTTATTTTATTTTTATTTCCTATGTACATAGAAAATAGTACAGCACCGAAACTTTTCTAAATATTTCCTAAAGATTTATTTGAAATGTTCGGAATATTTAAATTGCAATGTTTAGTGATGTCCCGATTAAATAAATATTTAGGGTGAAACTTTCCTGAACATTTAAATGAAATTTTCGCCTAATTATAATTATAATTATAATAAATAATAATTATAATAATAATTAATAATTAATTATAATAAATAATAATTATAATAATAATTAATAATTAATTATAATAATAATTATAATTAGGCAAAAATTTCATTTAAATGTTCAGGAAAGTTTCACGCTAAACGTTTATGGGACATTTAAATCTTTACACAATTTTAATTAAACATTGCAATTAAATATTACGAACATTTCAAATAAATCTTTAGGAAATCTTAAGGAAAGTTTCGGTGCTGTGGGGAGTATATTTAAAATTTTCAACTATTTAAAAAGCAAATTATTATTATTAATAAATAAATAATTCAAAAATGCTCAATAAAGTGCGAAGCAATTATTTTTGATAATGTAAAAAAAAATAACGAACATATCCTTGAAAGTGGAGGAAATCTGAACGTCCTTTGTTGGAAGATTTAGGTTGAACGCGCATCATCGAATAACCTTGTGCACTTTTTACGTTTATCAAAAACTGTATACATTTAATAAACAAGTTTCCATAAAGGGAAATAAATAATTTGACCTCGTATATATACAGACGAAAACTCTTTAATATCTTTATTATTATTATATAATTTTTTATAATGAAACTTTGATTTCTTTATTATTAAAAAAAAAAAGTTAAATGAAAAATTAAAAAAATATTAAATCTCTGAAAAGATTATAATCCTATATGTTTTCTTTTTAAAGGAATTTTTTTTTATTCTCAGTTATAGAATATACATTTTTTTTAAATATATAAACTATTTTTTGAGAAATTGGTCTATTTTTCTGAATGGATAAAAAAATAATTTTAAATTCTTGTTATATATATAGTAAATTATGTAATTCTTGTCAAATATTTCTCATGTGTGCGAGTTATAAAGTGAAAATATGTTCTATTCTAATTAACGTGGTTACTAGTTCATAGATCCTGCGATCATCGTATATGGACATTTTTATTTTTCTCTACCTATATACACTGTAAAAAGAAAGTACTAAAATAGTACTGATTTTAGGTATCAAAATAGAACCAAATGACAATTTAGTACCTATACAGTCGGTATTAAATTAATACCTTTCGTTTTACAGTGTACCCGAGTCGAAATTTTTCCCTCTTTTCACCCTTGATTTTCTCAGCCTCTTTTCAGCCTGAAATCATGCGCTTATTTCCAAATCTGCATGTTTAGAGGTTGAAAAGAGGTCTTGGAATTTTTTCTTAATTTGAATTTTTCGAAGTTTTATTCCACCCAAAAGTTTTATAGTATTACGACAAAGACCAATAAATATATCTTCAATAGGGTCAATAAATAATGTCCATAAGAAAAAAAATCCAATTTTTACATTTTTTTAATTTTATTTTTTCGTTTTTTTGTTTTGTTTTTTTACCTCTTTTACGCCTCTCTAGTCATCTTTAAACCCTCCTTTCAGCCTCCAATATAGCAGATATTTACACTTTTGCAAATTCGAGGTCGAAAGTGTTGGAGAGAATAAAAGGAGGATAAAAGGAGGTTTTTAGAGAACTTATAGAGAGTCTAAATTTCGACTCGGGTATATGTAAACAAATTGTGTTAGAGGATAATTATAATATTGCTATGCGGTTTTCTCTGTTAGTAAAAGGATTAATAAAAGTGTTACAATTCATTATGGAATTTATATTCTTGGAAATTCTCTAAAGAAAGTACATAAACGACTTAATTCTGAAAGAGATTTCAATGCCGGGTAAAGACACATTCTTCGAAGCATTTTCTGATATTAAATAACGCCTTTCATATTACCTCCAATATTTTATGTAAATTCATTTTTCATATTAAATTTAATTTATTTTTTTGAAAAATTCATTTTTCATTTTAATTAATTAATTTTTTAATTTTAATATTCTAATTAAATTTATTTTCCTCATTGTACAGTGAAAAAAAATTTATTTGATTCACATAATTCACATATTGCACAGAAAATTATAAGGCATTAAAATAAGCTGCAACGCTTATTATTTTAATGCCTTTTAATTTTGCTGTGTTCTTTTTATGGAATTTTATTTGTCATATAATTATTTTTGAGCCGAATTTTTATTTGTTCGAATTAGTATATTTTGCAGAATTTTTATCAAACATTATATATTTTCTATATTACAGAATTTTTATATAATATCGAAAAATCATTTAACAGAAATTTCTTAATGATAGAATTTTTATTTGTCCGAAATTGCATTAATGACCGAAGAAACAATCGTTTTTGACGCAATTTTTAAAATCAACCAATTTTATGGATAATTTTTGATAGGTTGATTTTTAAAATTGCGCCAAAATTTTTTCTGTCGATTATTTGTTTATTCATTTACAAATTCGGACAAATAAAAATTCTATTATTATAAGAAATTCTGTTTGATTTTTCGGTTATATAAAAATTCTGTAATATATAGAAAATATATAAGGTTTGATGAAAATTCTGCAAAATATACTAATTCGAACAAATAAAAATTCGGCTCAAAAATAATTATATGACAAATAAAATTCCATAAACACAGAAAATTAAAAGGCATTAAAATAAACTGCAACGCTTATTATTTTAATCCAATTTTGCTTATTTTAATACCAAAATGGATTCAAATAAGTAAAATTGGATTAAAGTAATAAGTGTTGCAGCTTATTTTAATGCCTTTTAATTTTCTGTGTGATTAAAGTAAAAATTATTAAATATTTATTTGGATAATAATCAAGTAACTAATTATTTGAATCAATTTTTTTTCATTGATATAAAAATGGAAAAAAGAGACAATTTTTCTTTTCTTTTTTTTGTCAGAAAGACCAAATTAATGATACACATCAGAGATGGGAATTGATTATATATAAAAAAAAAAAAGAATTAAGTATTTCCTGTATAAACTTCTTTAAATGATAGTATTACAGATAAAATCTAAAAGATATGCGTAAATGCACTTTATGTAAATGAAGTTTACTTGATTTGCGATAGGAACGTTTGCGGCCTCCTACCTACAATGCTGAAGATTATGCCATAGCATTAAGAAGGTGGGGGAGACGTCCTCTGGGATCGACTCAAGATTCTCATGGAACTTTACCATCAACGACAAGTTCCAGTTCCGGTTATGCATCCGGAAGTGGCGAAATGACACTGAGACAATTTACTTCCGTCAGTGAGCTTCTCAATAAACTTCGAGCTGACCTTAGACTTGCATTTCCAAGGTATGTCAAATTTTATACATTTATTTTATATTTGAATTTTTTAATTTTAATTAGCTATTTAACAAAAAATTTTATTTATGGTAAAATAAAATTTTTATTCGATGGGAAAAGAAATTTTTTTCAAATCTAAAATAAATAGATTTTTAATTAAAATTTGCGGTTTGAATAAAAAAAAATTTCTTTACATTGAAAAGGAAAATTTATTTGATTTAAATAATCGACTATTGTCAAATAAATATTTATTTGTATTAAATATAATTATTATTTGAAATCAATTAAATGGCATTTAAAAAAATATATATACACAGAAAATTAAAAGTCATTAAAATAAGCGCTGCAGCTTATTTTAATATACCTTTTAATTTTCTGTGTATTTGTTCAAATACAATTCAATTATTGTTTCAAAAATTATTTTGTAAATATTTATTTGATAATAGCTATTATTTGAATCAAATAAATTTTTTTTTCAATGTATATGTATAAATTTAAAATATGTACAAAATTTAAGGGAAAAAAAATCCAAATAGCCGAAGAAAGTTTTGTATAAATACAAATCACTTTCAATTTCTCTTATAGAATTATTTATTAATAAATCATAAAGATATGTTAAATCAACTATAAACTAAAAAAATGAAAGTTGTAACGTTTCTTTTGTTACAAAAGATTCGTGACATCTAATTTCTAGCAATAAAAAGATGTAGGTTATTGCTTTTTAAAAATATAACTACGTTTCACACGAAACATATATTTATATATATACAATAATAAGAAATTCTCATAGAAACTTATAACAATATATGTATATAACAAACAAAAAAGAAACTACCAAATAAGTATAATTTTCTATATATATATAATTTATCTTTTTTATTTGGGAATCGGAGGGAAAAAAAAAATAACAAGCTTTTCAAATTTCTGAGTCAGTGGAACTGATGAACCTGTCGATATTTATCAAAAAGGAAAAAAAAGGAGATAAAAATAAACGGAGCGTGCAGACAGTTAGTTTTTATTACTTTTTTATAATACAGTGAAGCAGAAAAAATATAATAATAATAATAATAATAATAAAAATGAGAATCCCATGTCGCGTGATCGTAACTGTCTTGCGTGTCATTTTTATATGTATATAAGAAAAATTCCACAAGTCTAATCTTGAATGATAATTGGCAAAAATAAGTAATCACACACTTTTTAAAAATGGACAATAATATATTAATGCTATCAAATTCTTTTTTTTAATTCAAATTCTAACAATAAAACATGAATTAATTTTTTTTTTAACAAAAAAAAAAAAATTTAATTAAAAAGAAGGACCAATGAAATTTTAAATTTTCAAAATTATTCACGTTTTTGATTTACGACAATTTTTTTGTTTTTGTCATTATTTAGGATCTATACCCAGAGAAAAGTATAAATTTATCTCAGAGCCAAATGAATTTTTATTTGTTTCAAATAAATATTTATTTGTTGCAAATAAATTTTATTTGCTGCAAATAAAAAAAAATTTCTCTGGGTGCGTAAAATTATATTTATTTATTTATTTCAGTCAATTAAATGGTATTTGTTTCAAATATACAGAAATTATATTGTTTCAAATTCAATTTATATAATTCAAATAAAAATTATTTTGTCGAAGCAAATATTTATTTGATAATAGTCGCAAGTAATTGAGTATTTGAATTAAATAAATTTTTTTTTCAAGTGTATTCACTGCACAGAAAATTATAAGGTATAAAAATAAGCTGCAACGCTTATTATTTTAATCCAATTTTGCTTATTTTAATATACCAAAATGTATTAAAATAAGCAAAATTGGATTAAAATAATAAGCGCTGCAGCTTATTTTAATTAATTTTCTGTGTGAAAAAATGAAAATCTAAAAAGAATATTTTCTTGGCGCCTATTTTAAGAATATTTTCCAAACGTATTTTATTCTTAGAATTAGAATTATTAATAATTATTATTAATTTAATAATTATAAATTAATAATTTTAATAATTAAAATAAGAAAAAAATTCTTAAATTAAGAACTATTTCTTAATTTAAGAATTCTTTCTTATTTTAAAAGTAATTATATTATAATTCTATAAAATACATATGAGAAATATTCTTAAATAGGCGCCAAAAAAATATTCTTTTTAAAATAAAATTTTTCTCCATAAAAAATCTTCTTTTTTAAATTATTATTTTTTTTTATTTTTCAATTATTTAAATTAATATACATCCTATCTTGTTATGAAAAGCACACGTTTCTCTTCTTATTCTTTTTCAATTTTCCTTCGCGATGATTAGAAAGAGATGGTAATTTACAAGCCGATGATTAATCGAATGCTTTGTTCTTTTAGCTGGACTGTAATTAAAGTCATAGAAATTACAAGTTCAGAAGGTAATGAAACGAGTTAATTAAAATCTCTTGATATATGCATGTAATGGATATTCTGAAGCATGATGGATCTTTGCGCGAGAGAGAAAGAGATAGAGAAATAGAAAAAAAAAAAAAAAAAAATGAGCAATACGTCTCTTAAATGCTCACGTATACTCCCGTTAACAGATTCTAAACGCGAATTAAGTCTTTAATGAACTTGTACATGATTAAGATGCGTGTTTAACGGATATCTTTTTTTTTTATATATATATTTACCGTTCAAGAATTCTCAAAATATAAAAGGTGTTATTTTTTTATTTTTTTGAGAATAATTTTATATACATATACTACTATGCGGCATATGGTCATCGCAAATATAAATTTGTCCCAGATAAAAATAAATGGTATATACCAAAGTATCAAATCTTGATACACAGTCAATAACCCATAAAGTTTCGAATATAACTGAACAATCTGATGCATCATTTCATGTAACTGTACAGTTCATATTATTGAAAACACCAAATGGCGTATACAATCATTTTCTTGTTTATAAAGTGTATTTTGTGAGATTAAAGAACCGAGAAAAGTGGATCGCCAGGATTATTATTATTTTTTTTTTTTTTTTTGCATATGTTCAAAAAATTTTAATTTAAGGGATCATTTATTTCCTTTGAAAAACAAGATTTTTTTTTAAATTAAATTAATTTTTATATTTTTTTCTTAATTGAAATAAATAATTTATTTATTTAATTACTACATGTATTTAAAAAAGAAAAGATTCCTTGAAACTAAAATTTTACTATTGATTCCAAATTTAGTGTTTGAAATTCTAAAATAAATTTTTACTACTATTACAGTAATTAACAAGAATTTTCCAGTCTGATTAAAATAGTCTTTTACTACTGAAAAAATTCTCCATTCTTTTTATTCACTGAAAAAAAAATTTTATTTGATACAAATACTCGATTATTTAATTATTATCAAATAAATATTTACTTAAACCAAATAATTTTTATTTGAATTAAATAAATTGTATTTAAAGAAATAATTTCTTTTGAAACAAATACCATTTAATTGACTTAAATAATAATTATATTGATATATGAAAAGTTATTATAGGCTCTAAGACAAATACATTTTTATTTGCTTCAAATAAATTTTATTTGTCTTAAATAAAATATGTCGAAAAAAAATTGACACCTCTAAATAATTATAAATAATTTTTATCAAAAATAAAAATTCTAAATTTAATAAAAATATATATATTTTTTTAAATTTCAATGATTTGGAATAATTTTAAATATATAAATAATTTCACGCACCCAGAGATATGTTTTATTTAAAAACAAATATAATATATTTGAATTAAATAAAAACGTATATTTGTCTCAGAACTTAATAATTTTAAAGTCGAATATTTAAATCAAATAAATTTTTTTTTCAGTGTTGAATTATTCCTTCTGGAATATTTTTTTATTAACAGGAAAAATTATTTTTGAATTTAAATAACATAAAAATTATTTTATAAAACTCTTTTGCGATAAAAGAAAGTTATACATTTAATTAAAACATATATACCAGAAAAAAAGATTGAATTTTGATTGGCGCGAAAATAGTTAGAAAATGTCAGGTATTTCTCTTGTTGTGTGAGAAAAAAAGAAATGTTCACATTTATATGTTTCACTTCGTCCCGTAATAATTAAAGGGCATTAAAACGTCATGCAGTTACTTTCTTGGAAATCTTTAAATATAATGAAGACGAACGACGACGACGACCATAAGAGTTAATGTGAGTAACAGTGTTTATAGAAAAATAGTATAATTCACAAATGTAATTGATTCACCAGTAATTTTGCAGTATAGTCGAGAATATAATAGTAACAATTGAGTTGTGCTCCCACGAAGAGAAATATATATATATAAAGGATTTCATTTAATATCATCTATATATAAGAAAATGTGTTTAAAAATTATATATTAAAAAAAAAATAGAAAAATAAAAATTACTCTTGAAAATTATATTAATATATTAGTATTACATATATTGTATTAAAATTATTTTTTCGAATCGATTTCCGCGCGATTTTTAAAATCAATCAATCAAAAATTATCCATAAAATTGTGATTGGTTGATTTTAAAAATTGCGCCAAAATCTATTGTTTGTTCGGTCATTAGCAATTTCGGACAAATGAAAATTCCAGCAATTAGAAATTCTGTTAAATGATTTTTCGGTTAAGTAAAAATTCTGTAGTATGAAAAGTCGTTTTAATGAAAATTCTGCAAAATACTAATTCGAATAAATAAAAATTCGGCTGAAAAATAATTATGACAAATGAAATTCTATATAAAATGAAAATTCTACCGATTTTTAGAACATAATAATTATGCATCCTAAATTTTTCTAAATTAAATACATATATTAATATAATATACTAACCCAATCAAAAATTTACTAATGGCGCAGTACTGGCACAGTACTGACAAATACTGGCGCAGTACTGGTAACCACTACTGGTTCAGTACTGGCCGAGTACTGGCAGTTTTGTAATTTCTTGTATACGAAAAGAAAGCTTTAACTGTAACAGAGATAAGTTTCACTGCAATAATGAAATCTCTGCTTCAGGTAATACT